GTCCCCGAAGCAAAGTATATTCAGAGGCATGGTGTGAATTTAGGGTGTGTAAGAAACAGATTAGTACACGAGTGTCTGTCAGATTCCATCTTACAACGAAAGCGAGTTGAACACTTTTTAGGCTATCGCCATGGATCAGCCATTCAGGGAACTGGAATTCGATCTCACACATACGTTTGATACTAGCTTGGCGATGTATCGAAAAACAATAAAATATGTTTGATGAAAGACGCACTCGCGATGCTGTTGCAGATACGTGTAAACCAACAATGAACATGTACATGTATGTTGGTCGAAATAAGAAAGGTGCAACACAGAGATGCCTCGAATAGTTTCAAGCGTACTTCACAATCCATCAGTAAGTGATCGTGGCAAACAGCTTCACTGCGTGTCCTATCTCTAAGTGTCTAATGAATATATACAGTAACGCATCTGTCATATGTAAGCAAACACTCCTTGCTCCGCGTTCATGCTCACGCGCGTGAGAGAACCAGGGAATGAGGGAAAGTATGAATGTGATAGAGAGAGAAAGCGAGAGACAGAAAGCAAGACCCAGAGTGACAGATCATGTGAGAGTAAGGAAGAGTGTGTGAGAGTGAGAGAGGAAGAGCGTGTGAGTGAGGGATCGAGAGAGTGTACAAGAAACGTAAGAGAAATTTCTCTGAAATTTGTTTAGGACCAACAACACATTATTATTTAGAACATCCACCACGTTTAGTGAACGATTTATATATTTTTATAACACATGAAGACAAATACAATGATGAAGACAAGTATTTCTTTTCCAACATTAAATTTGAATCGAGAACAGATTACTTTTCTCTAAAAAAAGATCCCAATCCTAATAACGTATGGTCTGTTTCATACGCAGAAGTAATAGCGAGGTGTAAGGTATTACCCCAGCCACACCAATAATTAAAACGTCAATGCCGTCGCAAACACGATGCTTGCAAGGGATCGGTCATTAGATATTCTTACGGCGTTGGGGCTGGGATGTTATTGATAAAAATATAATGTGCTGCAGGTTTTTGAAAATAAAATTGCCCGCCTCAAAAATGACATTACAGGCGGCACCCCCTCCCCCACCCCACCCCCACCCCCAGAATATCAAATGATCGGTCCCTTAGCTATGTAATGTGCTCCTTATGGCTACGGTAAGCAACACGCTTCTTGTTTCCTTGGCATTTACCGGCAAGCACGTGCAGCCCTCTCAACTATCACACTGACGCTTGTTATCACACAGTCCAATATTTTTTCACTTGAATAAACATATTTAGTTGTGAGGCCGAAAAGGCTAAACGCACGGTATTTTTGAAATAATGCAATATACAATACAGCGGTGTGTTGGACATGTGCTCATGATACACTCTAAGGGGGTTGTAGAAAGAAAGTGGTAACTTCTTTGCTGCCAAAGATATATTGCATGGAGAAAGAATGCTGATGTTCCTAAATCATTCCTGTCACCTGTTTCTTATAACCAGTAACTACCGTTGACGTGTTTGTCGCGTAATGGGTGACCTGGGCCCACTTGCACAAAGCGATCTTAGCGCTACAACTATTGTAAGCCTATGTTAAAGTATGGGAGTTACGATCATCTTAGCGCTAAGATCGCTTTGTGCAAGTGGGCCCAGGTGGTTAAGCGGCATCGTGTCTCGAGAGCGTAGTTTCTTTACACCTTTCAACCAGAAATTACTTTTAACATCTTTGTCACGTAATGGTGACCTAGCGGAGTGTCATCATGGCGATGTTCAGATTCCTTCACCATGGCCGCCATGATCTGGTTTGAATAGTAATTCATGACTAACGCATAAAACAACATTCATTCTCTTCACGGATTTGTAGAAGTGAATTTCGAAAAGTTGTAGTTGTGTTTGTAGAAAACGATGTCACTGTTGAACAGCCGTTGTATCGTTGTTTCGTTGTATGTGTTAAGAATTAAAACTATTCAGCTAATGTGTGAGTCAAATTAGTTTTCTTTCGGTAATATGTCCGTTATTATATATACTTTTATTATCCTTTTAGTATTTTGCATAAAATCCGTTTATGCAGTGAGTAAAGGATTGGATGTGTTGTGTTACGAAACGCTTACTTAACCGAGGACAAGAATTATCATAATTATTGCTAGAATAGGTCTTCAGCAACCCATACTTGCCGTAAAAGCCGACTATGCTTGTCGTAAAAGGCGACTAACGGGATCGGGTGGTCAGGCTCGCTGACTTGGTTGATACATGTCATCGATTCAAATTGCGTGGATCGATGCTCATGATATTAATCACTGGATTTTCTGGTAATGTCTCGATAATTTACAGACCGCCATCATATAGCTGGAATATTGTTCAGGTGCGGCGTTAAAAAACCAACCAACCAACCAACCAACGTCCTAAAATAGTATGCGGAAATCGCTAAGGCCGTATGTGTTAAAAAGTGGCTCCGATTTCAGAGAATAAATGGATGTACACTCATTATTTCATCAACTTCAGAAATAAAAGATTCACACTCAGTATTTCATCAACTTCAGAAAGACAGGACTTAAACAGTATTGTACCGACACCTTCCACTTCAGAGGTCGGTATTGGCCAGACTGACATACTGTTGAGGTCACAGGTGTGATATCTTGTCAGACAACAGATACCCGAGCTTCCAGATGTGTGCGTTCCATCAATTCATTACACCAGTCTTGACATCCCGTAGTTTTAAGAACCTTTGGCTATTCTGTTTGTTCAAATGTTTTGGTGTCAGATATCACGCGGAACAACAGCATATGGACCACTGACTCTGGAGGAGAACACCCACACGTTTCTCTCCTGACAGAGATTTGCGGGTGTTATTGTGTATTTGATGCTTGGAAAATTCAAATGTTAAATTTCCTTGCATCAAGTACTCAGTAACACATCAAAGTCGTGTGTTTCAGATTATTGGGATTTATAGCTGGGTTGTTCATTACAGAACTGGCAAAATAATATCTTTGGTTCGTTATCAGAACACATTCTTTGCGAAGGTAGTTTGAACTGGAGTGAGTGAGTGAGTCGGGTTTAACGCCGCTTTGTCGTATTCCCGTTATGTCACGGTGTATCAGCTTAATGTGGGATGAAAACCTGGAGGGATGCCGGTCTCAGACATTTACCATTTTTGTGAAACCGACGACAAACCTAGAAACATAGTCCGGCGGAACAGTGTGAATTGGAAGGGAACGCGCAGGTCATAAGGCCCTCAGACAAACAGGATGAGGAATCGTCTCAAAAATATTTGCCACAATGTATAATACTGGTCGGGAATATATATTATTATTTGGTTGTCGACTGAAATTTCTCCCCACCAGATTGTAAAGCATTGGATCAAAGACAAGAAAGAGAACTGTAAAAGTGTAACCATTTGACATTTGGAAGTTTGGTCTCTTCAAAATTTCAATGTTAAAAAGCTTCGTAAAGGCAGAAGCGGTGGACAAATAGAGTATGGTGTTAACTATGTATGTGTCATTAGTTGCTTGTAATAGATCAATAAATTCGTGTCCAATATGCTTTAAGTTACGTCCCTTTGGCAAGCAGGAAACCTGTTCAAAGCGGCGTTAAACCCAATCTCATTCACCCATATATATTCTCATCGCCCCCACTCTTCCTCCCCTTGGGCGGTAGGGCAGCATGTGGTTAAAGCGTTCGCTCGTCACGCCGAAGAACCGGGTTTGATTCCCGACATGAATACAATGTGAGAAGTCATTTCTGGGGTCCCCCGCCTTGATATTGCTGGAATATTGCTAAAAGCGGCGTAAAACCATACTCACTCATTCTTCCTCCCTTAATTTTCTCTTTCTACAAATCCCCCTTCTCTTCGTTTTCATCGTCTCTACCCCATCCCCCACCCATCCACCCATCCACCCAAACCCACCTTGCACTATCTATGTTCCCGATTGTCATTCCGACTTTAGGTAATAAGCCGCTCCACTGAATGTGAATATGTTTGCCAATACATCCCTTCCCGTCAGTAATGTCAGCACAGAAGGTAACTTTGCATGAGACTATTCCCGATGGGGGCCAGACTTCACAGGCCCTAAGGTAGCTCGCATTCAGCAAAAGTAAGGTTACCGTCTATTTTCAGAACGTTTATTTCGTCAAACGGAAAGTTAATGCCAAATGGAAGCACCTGTTTGAGATGCAGGTATACAGTCCATCAGATGATGTGAAAACAAACCATTGGTTTTCGCGCACATGCTTCATCATTGACAGCACAGTTATCGCTAACACCTGGTTGTTGGTTTGTTGTTTAACGTCTCACTCAGCAATATTCCATCTATATGACGGCGATCTGTAAATAATCGAGACTGGACCAGACACTCCAGTGATTGATATCACGAGCATCGATCCACGAAATTGCGATCGATGACATGCATCAACCAAGTCAGCGAGCCTGACCCCCGATCCCGTTAGACGCCTCTTACGACAAGCATAGTCGCCTTTTACGGCAAGCATGGGTTGCTGAAGACCTATTCTACCCCTGATCTTCACGGGTCGTATTTATAGTGGTTTGGTCGGGACGGGTGAACAGGTTCGATGTATCCGTACAATTGAGATGGCTAAGTTCGAGATAAGGAGGTTCGACTGTAACATGTCTTGAGTAGTATTGTTTGCAAAAAAATAAAATAAAGGTGAGATAATATAAAAGCAATACTCCACACCACGGAGTTTCTGTTATATAATTATTTTTATTATTATTATTATTATCATTATTATTATTAATAATAATAATAATAATATTGCAAGGGCCCTGAAGTGATGAGCCTAACCAGCCTGACTGTATTAGGATCACCAAAACCCTCTTTGCTGCATTTATTTTAATCTGTATTATAATAATAATAATAATGATGATAATGATAATAATAATAATTCATCACAGCACCTGCTTGTAATGCTCAATCCGCGTAGCAAATAAGTGTGAATCAAACTTTGGGAGTAACCTATCTAATTAAGAACGCACACAACAGAGTTTTAAATCATGCGAACACTCACCTTATTCAACAATCGGTTAAGACAAGGAAGCGGGGTTGCGGACACGTGTGTCAGACAAACGTTCTTAGAGATAAAGTACTCCGGCAGGTTTTAGCTTTACCCTTGGCTCCGGCGATCTCAGAGAATAATACCTAATCTTCACCGAGGATAAGTGACTAGATAGCAGGCAAAGTGGGCGGGGGATGAGAAGTTCGCACGTGCTACAAATCTGTTAAAAGCCAAGCAGAATGCTGCCAGTTTTGGCCAACGAGATCGCGCAACGTCACAAAAGTCTTAGAGCAGTAGCCTGGAATGTTTTTGTGTCGGTAGAGAATCCAGCTTAACTGAGAGATTAGGAATGGTGGGAGATCCCCGCTTGTCGTTCTCGCGCCGGAGATAACAAAGCTGGAAGGAGGGTATGCTGGGAAGATCAGATATATGAAATTAGCGGGATGGCTGGATGTGTTTCATGTGGTGTGCTCCAAGAGAGGGTAGGTCAGTTTGGGGTTAGGCATGCGGTGGGGGGAACGCTGGGAGACGTCTGTGTCAGCTGGTGGTGTTAGTGGCATGATCAGTTGAAGTTTCGAAATGATATGACATTTTGGAAGTGAGTGAGTGAGTGAGTGAGTGTTCACGCCGCTTTTGTGAGTGAGTGAGTGAGTGAGTGAGTGAGTGTTCACGCCGCTTTTGTGAGTGAGTAAGTGTTCACGCCGCTTTTGTGAGTGAGTGAGTGTTTTCACGCCGCTTTCAACAATACTCACGCAGGGGGGCTCAGTGGACTCAAACACGGTCCTTTGGCGTGCGAGTCATCACCCAAAATCCACATGGCTAACTCCGCACAGTAACATGTATAAATACATCTAATTACAATTTCACTACTACAATGGAAGATAATGTTTTCAAATCTTAAGCAAAAATGGGAGAGGGAGGGTATGGAGGTATACACCCTCCACCTCCGTTATGGACCAGGTGTCCTCTTTAAATAACATAAAGAAGCGCGTAAATAACCGGAAGATGTGGAAAACATTCATGTATCGCCTGTCACTTGGGGTGAGGTGAGGTGACATGGTGAGGTGAGGTGAGGTAAAAATTGGGTTAAGCGTCGCGTCCAAGATTATTGCACTTATATAGAGACGTGCATGCACGTGTGTGTGTCACTGCAAACACGGAAACGTCGTTTTTTTCCGTATATGGTCATTGGACGGAAAAACGACGTTATTTGGACGTTTTAAACCATCGTTTTTCCGTCCAAATAACGTCGTTATTTGACATCGGAATTTACTGGGAGAGAACGATAGCGTTAAGCTCCTCCCTTTCTAAATTGACATTGTCAATCAAGCAACAGCGTCTACCGGTATTTCTACTTCTCAGATTTCATTGGTCAGTCCCCGCGTGTTAGATGACAGGCCCGCGTTTGACGCTGCACTCGAAGCGCTTAGCGGAAGTACTGAAATCAATCGTTCTGCGCATGCGGATTACTTAATGCCTTGACCACATTTTCCGTTCTGTGCATGCGCGATTTCGCGTATTGTTTCCTAGATGTAATGTCACCACTATTTGACAATGTTTCATAAACACAGTCACGTGAAGGTTCGGAATCGTAACGAGTAACTCCATTTAAATTGAAGAGGATCCCCAGTGATATGGGAGATTCCAAGATGAAACTATTCTATGGCTATCTAGGCTGCCACCCAAACCGATCTAAACGGGACCCGATAGCTTATTGTATGCTATATAGTCATATGGAAGTGGACAAGAACTATACATTGTATTCCGGCCGATTGTTCTTGCATTTACTTATAAGTCAGGAAAATGGACTTAAAAGGGGAGTTGTTGAATGTAATTATTTTAATTATTAAATGTTGCCTAAACACTAATCTGGACGAACTTCTCATTGTTCTGTTTATGTCATCCTATATACTATTAGTATGTTACCGTTCTAAAGTCAACCTCTCACATAACATTATATTGTTCATAGTATCAAAGTTTAATCAACAATATCAACAGCAGCGATTTAAACCACTGAAACACCCAAACACAAGGCTGTTATCAAGCGCTAGTGCAGACGTGATGCATCGTAAAAACTGTATCGTGATGTCTTCAGAAATTCAATTATACTACGAGATAGTACGGCTAACGCTTACTCACCGGTGGAACAAAGACAATATCGCTAATACAGATATAACGTATTTGAATGTTAATACTAAAGACAAACAATCATTATTTTTGCAGTGACGATATAACACGTATACACGTTTATTGTTAACTTTCATCAGTTTTGCTCTTCATTTTAATAACTTTGTTTTCACATATATATGTAGCAATACCCGACAAGCATGTCCTACATAATTATGGGGCAGTTTTCAATCTTGTACTGACTTACTCTGGTGTTAATGAGAGAAGTTTATTGGCTTGTGTGTAAAACCCCGTTTTTCTGGTAATCCTATTATTACTTAGTTTATTTCTATCTAATGACACCCTGTTCTCTGGATCATGGCTCCGTGACTATCCATAACAGTTAAGATGAACATTCAGTTCAAGTAAATGAATGAGTTTGTTTTGACGCTACAGTCAGTCAAAAAACCAATGATGTGAGGTTTGATAACACACTTCTACCAGGTCGAACATCGTGGATCCTCATTTTCTGTCTAAAGAGAATCATAGTTCATATGCTAATCCATCTGCGAATACCCTCCCACTAAAGATGACCTTACATGTTGCTAAATCTATCATCTATTCCCCCAATCTCACCCACGCACGCGCACACACACACACACACACAACTGACCTAAATAACTTCGACAGGAAATACTGCTGATAGCCTTTGGTCAACTCAGCCGCGCCACCGCAGAATGTTCGTCCAACTCTGCAGGGGGCATCCTCAGTGGCTTCAAACGCGCTGAAATGTTTTCGCCTTTGCATCCAAGATGGCGGACAAGTGAAATCGTATGAAATTTGGCTATTTTAGGTCCTATCTCTTTTTTGATTACCCAATAAAGTCAATTCATAGTTACACGGTTGTAAAAAGGCTTACAACTTTATAAGACTTATTCATCTCATTCCAAAAAAGCTACTCGCGCTCACATAAAGCTGTAGTTATTATGTCACTGTTTTATTTCTTTAAAAATATATTACATGTTCAACAATAACAATTAAGATGAACATTCAATTTCCGATATAAGTAAATGAATAAGTGTGTTTTACGCCACAATCAGTCAAAGACTAACGTTGTCCGGTCTGATGACACACAATCTACCAGGTAGCACATTGTGTACACCCTATCCCCATTGAAGTCTCCACTGTGGGTATTCCTGGGGACGAAAAAGCCCCATGTACCTAGGAATTTCATCAATACATTCATGCGCGGCATTCTCTGCCTAAAGAAGATCATATAGTTAACATGCTAATCCAACTCGAACTACCATCCCGCTCAAGATGAATGTTTTATGTAACATCCAACAGGCCCACATTTACGCACGCACGCACGCACGCACGCACGCACGCACGCACGCACGCGCACACACATATTTGGATTTACCAATCCCTGAATTGAGAAGACGTGCGTACGAAGCTCCTCCAAGTCATCATCAATATCCGTATATGTCTGTGATATCATTACCCATCCAAAGCCGAATATACATTTATTGTGTTTTCTTGACAACAAATGTTATAATTGGGATAACACTTTCTGAGTGAAGTACAGATTCTCGTACTTTCTTGGGTTGAGTCCCGTCCGGGATTTGAACCCACACTGTGAGTGAGGCACCCAATCGCCAGAACACAAAGTTGGCGATCTAACCCAGCCGCCGAACCAAAAATGTTAGTCCAGATGACGTATACTTTGTGTACTCCTCTGACAAGAGAAAAATGGCACGGCTTCTATGACCGAAAGCTTTGAACCAACAATGCCTTTAAGAAAGTGGTCAACAGTAACACACATTATATTTGGATACCACTTTCTCAGTAAACTACATATTTTTAGGGTGGAGATAATAGACGTTGATTGTTGATTATCAATGGACAAATTAAAGCCAAAACTTAACTTATGAATGATTGGTAATGGGAAATGGACAATGGGCAAACGGGAGGCGGGGTAATCAGCGCCATGCCAGTTATCTGTTGGCTTCCCTTGTTGCGTTCCCTTCTTTGCTATCTTTTTACTTTTGTTGTTCTTACAGGTACAAATATATGTTCTCTGCCTCATAGCATTTAATAATATGCACCTGATGAAGGAGAAAGTATATATTCCGAAACGCAGTGTTCCTCCGTTGACATCCATAAATAGTTTTCCTTGTGTGTATCAGTTCTTAATGCCCTTCAAAGACTCAATCTAGCTTTGTTTTTAAATGTGGTGATATTTGCGTAGAATATAATAAGGTCATGCCTATATACATTTGGGTCTTTGTCTACATAAGCATTTAGACATACAATTTAGAGCTAAGGACATTGCTTTTTCTGCAGGCATGAAGTACACGTCATAGCAAGCTGTGATCTTTATTCATACTTTAGATATTCGTAATGGAGATCTGTAACTGAAGTTTACCGTAATCTTCCGCAACTCTCACCTCCTGACCAGTTGAACGTCTTAGTGCATTCAGATTTCATTGTAAAATTCCAGGCTGCCCCTCTTTCTGTGATGTTTTGACGGATGAAATCTATTGCGTTATAATAATCTCTGTTTGCTGATATATAATATGTACATGTTGTAAAATATTTACGATATGTTAAACGTGTAATTCGATGCATATGCAATGCAATGTGAACATAAGTGCGGATGCACGAAGGCGGTTATAGTCATAGTTATACTGCGATGGATGTAGGGGAATGGTAGGGGGGTGTATGTATGTATGAAAGCACGAATACCGATACATGAGGGCGGATATAGTTATAGTTCGATGGATGTTGGGGAATGGTGGGAGGATGGATTATGTATGAAAGCATGCGCATGGATCCATGATGGCTGACGTAGACATAATGGTGGGGAAAGAAGAATGTGTGTGTGTGTGTGTGTGTGTGTGTGTGTGTGTGTGTGTGTGTGTGTGTGTGTGTGTGTGTGTGCGTGCATGCGTGCATGCGGGCATGCGTTGTGATACGAGGGTTGGCGAACATGTTGTCAGATGATTGTACATGTGTGAGTAAGTTAAGTGGTTGAGGATGTGGCAGGTATGAGTATTGATACTGGGTGTGCCTGTACTCAAAGGTCATACTGGCCGGGCATTCAACATATCTACCCCAACTACATACGTAG